CTCCAATGAAATCGGTCACTCTTGCCACGAATGAAAGTAAATTTCACCTGAGGCAAGGTTGCGCAATTCACCAATACCAATCTGATTTTATTGGTGTTTGGCACACTAAGTACACAGAAGCGGGACGAAATGCACTCGAGGGGAAAGTCTCGGTGCTGTGGTCAAGGATAAATATACGCGCGGTACGAGTGCATGCGATTGCGACTGAAGTTGTTGTCAGAAATGACATTTTAAATCATCAAGTTTTTGTATTGTTTTTTAATTTTTCATAACCGCCATGTGTCCATGTACACGATTCTTGGTTACAAATTGTTATTTTCATAGATTCACGTATGCGTAACACGATGTCGTAGAATGTGGAGTAGTCGATTTTCGATTTTCGTAACTATTATTGTCGAGGCATTAAGCTGAACAACAAAGAATTGATCTTGATCTTGCGGCAATCGTACTCGTTGTTACGGCACACGTGACGCGGCACAGAAGAAAACGTTATCGCGCTTTGAGAAAAACAACAAGTCTGCACAGAGACGGGAATGCGTTAGAAGGTTAGACGTCGGTAAGCGCCTTGAATTCAGCGCACTCTGGCGAGAGATTGGCAAAGCTTCGGATTGACCAACTTTCGCGTCGATAAAGAGGGTTGCCTTTTCGTGGCCCAAGAAAGGACACGATGGCGCAACACTCATTCTAGCGATAAATCGGACGCGACTGTAAGCGATAACAAATACTTCGAGAAATACGTAAAAAAAAACACCTCAAGAGATCGTATATAGGAATTTGTCCAGTGTCACGACACATCGAGTACGGTGAATATGTTATCTTCTATAAGAATTCCATCAAGCGTATAGTCCGATAATGGAAATCTAGTCAGTCACAGATTTGCAACAATTACTTAAAAGTCGCGTTTGACGTCATAGAAAAACTGAAGAAAAAAGGATAAATAAAAAAAAAAGGTTGATATGCACGAACTTGTTCCGGTCTATTACTCGTCCAGTTGCTAACTACTATATCGTGCGTTGAATCCAGACGAGAGGCAACTCGAGTTCCAGTATAAATAAATTGCTTGAAGTTGAAGAAATAGAAAGAAAAAAAGGAAAATAAAGTGAAACGTCAGAAAAATGAAAAATCGTTAACTGGCCACAGATCTGTTTGTAGAGGTGAAGGAGAATTTACTTTCTGTGTGCTAACCTGAAATTGAGAGTCACAGGTCGCCTAGGCCGAAATCCAATTGACACGTAGCTCCTAGACTCGGAGCGACCTTTCCTTTCTTTTAAGGAACCCATTGGAATGCACCTCATGTGCCAATAAGGAGAAATGAACTTCACTCCGAGACACGTAAGAACATTAACTTTGCGCAATCTGCCGGCGGAAGTATTGCGCGAGCGTTCAGGACTGTCACGCGTCGGGAATGTCTACTTGGTGAAATTTAGGACTGAAGTCCGAAGGCCTTTTGCGCATTGATTGCAAGTACTCGCGCAGGTCGCGCTGCAAGTGCATATGGATTTTATACTATATAACTGCGTAATCAGTGCTGATAAGGACTTTTAAAAGCGACAGGTTGAAAGACAGTGATTGATTTAAAGATCTTTTAGGAGGGGAGGAAGAGTGCCAAATGCCTGTTGGCTCAGCCGTAAGAGGGGAAAAGCTTGGTGCCCTTGGTGCGGCTCGTGCAGGGCCAAGGTCAATGCCGTCTGGAATCAAGGGAAAAGTAGTTGAAGCGAATCTCAGAGTCTTAACGGCACGTAGACGTGGAAGGGAGAAAGTGCTCGCAGGGAGATTCAGCCTTTAGTCGCTTTAATGAAAGTAAAGAGAAAGACAAGTAATATGACTCGGAGCTCTTAGCTCGGGCTAACCAGGGACGTGAGATGCTTGGAAAGCAATCGTTATCGAGGATGATCGATCTGATTCCCATTTACTGAGACTGGAAGAAATATTATGATTTTTCAAAATGAATATTTTTCGAATTATAAAAATATTTTATTATAATTTTTCATGGAACAAAAGTTTCATTCGATTCTTAATTCCCATATGAAGTATGAGAATAAAGTGTTCCATGTGACCATTAGGCCTGTGACTGTCGGTTCATTTAATAAAACCGGACACCCCGTACATTTCCAAGGACGTTTTCGTGGGACTGCGACGATCGTCCAATTAGATTTAAGCCTGAAGGATCTAAGGGAACGAGATGGCTGTATCGCAAGAAGGAACAGCTCGTTGGCTTTCCCGTCTTTCCCGTCTTTCCAGGAGCGATCGCGAGCGCTGAAAGTGCTGGCCGCATGTCCATTAGAGAATCCGAGTGCGTGCCACAGCTGGGAGTTGTGAGTTGGGTTTTGGTAGCGCAAAGTTGGCAAGGAATGAAAGGTGCTGGTGGGGGCGCAGACTGGTTTTCACTCTCGGCATTCACCACGACTCGGGACAACGTATTCAGATTCGACCGGTGCTCCTCTGAGCCTCTACGAGACGATTCCGACCGATCCGGAGACCAATCAGTTTGCATCGCTTCCTATTCTTGCCATTTCGCCGGCTGCTTCTTTATATTCGAGAGTGATCGTCATTCTTGGTTCGACCGAGGGACGCGAAGAATCTACCAGAGAGGAGGAAGGAGGTGCGTTCGTGAATTAGATTTATTTAGTCCTTTGTGATATTAACCCACTGGCTGTGACAATTTGAAATTTTCAAAGCTATCAAAGACCAACATTTAACTTTTGTTTCTTATAATTTGCTACTTTTTTAAATCGCTTTTCAATCATTCTTGAGGCATCATTATTATCATCATTGATCTATTAGAAATCATCGTTTGACAATATTGACCTGTCTGCTTGTCAGTTCTTCGAGTCCCACATCGTCCCGGCACGTTTCTATTTACACATTCGTGCAAGTCAAATAGACTTTTAAGACTTGAGCACCCGAGCATGCGTGGCTCTGATTAATTATACGGCGACGCTAGGAAGACTGAAGAGATTTACGAAAATCTAGCTAAAGCAAAGATATACATTAAAGAGTCTCGGGAGCCGCGTGTTGGGGCGTAACTTGGTAAATGTTTAAATAAATAACAATTGACTGTTGACCCGGTTAACTGGGAATTGTTAAGACGCAATGCAGATCCTGCTGAACGAATCACTGTCACAGGTGGACCCAGGATGCTGTGCCGTGTGGTAACGCATGATCAGCCAGCAGACCAAAAGGCAAAGAGATAACGGAATTCCTGGCGAAAGCGATCTCCAGCTTCTACCGATCAAAGGTAAACAAATTTCACCGGGATACTCAACATTATTCCCACCCAGCTGTCAATTTAAATAATACTGGAAACCGTGCATTTGAAAATTAGACAATTTGAAGATCGGTTAAGTATAACCTCAAAGGCGACTCTCGCGGTTTCCGTCGCTGCTCAGTCGGCGACGATGAATCTTGGTCGTCGGCCGCGAGTACGTCGTGAGAAACGACAGTTAACGTGCAGCCCAGCTTCTTCACTTTCTAACTAGATAGAGCAGAGGCAGGAGATGAACAATCCTTAGAATCCGACTGGCTGCCGAGAGCGTAAATTCATTCGATTAGATGTAAACGAACCTGAAGAATACTCGTAAGATTGCCAATTGAATGTCAATTAATCGATAGCCGATCGAAGATTTGATGTATCGAATGAAAAATTTCAAAAATTTCAAAAATTCTTCCCACAGGTCTTGCAAGTCCTCCGGTGTTCTCGAACATGAGAATATCTAAGGAGTGAAGAGAAATCGACGAATGCGGATTGGCGGCGCTCGAAAATGCCGATCGGGCTGGCTGGATTGGCAGGGACGTCTTCGCTCCTCGGTTTGAGTTTGATCCCCTTGCTGACCATCGGGTTCACTCTGTTTCGCTACAACAACGTGGATCCTGAGTCGCATGCGCCGGATGCACGCGAGGTAAGTACTCGAGGATTCGCCGTCAAAGTCCTTCCTTTGCAAACGAACCCAAAGACTTTAAATAATCGCGAACAACCGCGATTACCGCGATTGCAGCTGCTGGGGATGTACGACTTCATAGTGGTCGGCGGGGGAAGCGCTGGCGCCGTGATGGCATCAAGGTTGTCGGAAATATCAAACTGGACCGTGCTCCTGCTGGAAGCTGGGAGCGACGAGAATGAAATCTCGGACGTGCCGGCCCTCGCCGGATACACGCAGCTCTCGGAATTCGACTGGAAATATCAGACGTCGCCGCCGACGAGCTCAGCCTACTGCTTGGCGATGATCGGCGACAGGTGCAACTGGCCCCGTGGAAAAGTCCTTGGAGGCAGCAGCGTCCTCAACGCGATGATCTACGTGCGCGGCAACAGGTGGGTAATGGAATAATGAAAGTTCGCACGAGGCTCTTGCGAAATAATTAGGAGGATATTAGAGCCGATGGAGATTGGCGTGAACCTCCTGCTATTCTGCTATTCGATAAGACCCGTTCGGTGGGATTCCTGGGATTTCTGGGATTTCTGGGATTTCTTAAGCGCGCAGTTCACCCTTTCATGTGAATTGAACAATGAACTCGTTTCCTTCTTGCCAACTGAGAAGAAACACAGGTGTAAGGTTGTGCTTGATTGTCTGACACTTTAGATTGGACTACGACAACTGGGCGCGAATGGGAAACCCAGGCTGGAGCTACGAGGAGGTCCTACCTTATTTCATAAAATCGGAAGACAATAGGAATCCATATTTAGCACGGAGCCCCTACCACGGCTCGGGTGGCTACCTGACGGTGCAGGAGTCGCCCTGGAGGACGCCATTGTCCGTCACGTTTGTCAAGGCGGGTTCGGAACTGGGTTACGAGAATCGTGACATCAACGGGGCCAATCAAACTGGGTTCATGATAACTCAGGGCACGATGAGGAGAGGCAGTCGATGCTCGACGGCGAAGGCCTTCCTGAGACCAGTCAAGAACCGGAGGAACCTCCACATCGCCTTGCGCGCTCAAGTCCTCAGGGTGCTCTTCAACCGGGACAAGAGAGCGACAGGGGTGGAATTCCTGCGGGACGGTCTTCGTCAGGTGGTCCGGGTGCGCAGGGAAGTGATCCTGTCTTCGGGAGCGATCGGCTCACCTCAGCTCCTGATGCTCTCCGGAGTCGGTCCCAAGGAACATCTGGCCCAGCACGCGATTCCGGTAGTCTCGAACCTGAGGGTCGGTGACAATCTGCAGGACCACGTGGGTCTTGGTGGTCTGACGTTTATCATCAACGAACCCGTCACCCTCAAGAAGAGTCGCTTCCAGAGCTTCTCTGTAGCCATGGAGTACATCCTCAACGAAAGAGGTCCCATGACTACCCTGGGGGTCGAGGGTCTGGCCTTCGTCAATTCCAAGTACGCCGACAAGTCCGGCGACTACCCGGACATTCAATTCCACTTTGCACCCAGCTCGATTAATTCCGACGGAGGTGATCAGATCAGGAAGATCCTCGCCCTGAGGGACAGCGTCTACAACACCGTGTACAAGCCTCTGGTCGACGCGGAAACTTGGACCATCCTGCCTTTGCTGCTGCGACCAAAGAGCACCGGATGGATCAGACTGAGGAGCAGGGATCCCTTTACGTATCCGGACATCAACCCTAATTACTTCACGCACAAGGAGGACGTGGACGTCCTGGTCGAGGGTATCAGGATAGCAATGGCCGTCTCGAACACTTCGGCCTTTCAGAGATTCGGCTCCAGACCCCACAGCATCCCTATGCCAGGCTGTCAAATATATCCCTTCGGCAGCTACGACTACTGGGAGTGCGCCATTCGCCATTTCACCTTCACTATTTATCATCCAACTGGAACTTGTAAGATGGGCCCACCGACTGACCCAACTGCCGTTGTCGATCCCCGGCTGCGCGTTTACGGTGTCAAGGGACTCAGGGTCGTCGACGGGTCCATCATGCCCAGCATCGTCAGCGGGAATCCAAATGCGCCGATCATCATGATCGCTGAGAAGGCCAGTGACATGATCAAAGAGGACTGGCGAGTCCGGAATCTCAAGAGAACCCGAGGCAGATAGTCTATAGTGGAATTTCTGTGTTTAAGCTAATCTTTGATCACGTAAATCCATCTACGGATAGTCATTACTTGATATATATATTTATTCGACAGCGGTGCCATCTCTTTGCGAAAACTTAAAGCTGTCCACTACATCGAGACTGCTAATCAACGCGTACTTCAATCCAGAATAGATTTTAATTATTTAATTGCATCTTTCGTTATCAACGAATGCTTGACAATTATATCGATCGTCGATGTCACGGCAATTGAAATGCTCCGAAATCAATCAAATCGTTTACTGCAATTAACTTTAAGGACTTTTTATTATAGCGTTCAATTAATTTAATACAATCGTCCAAAGGATTTGTGTACATAAAAATTTATTAATCTGTAGTTTTAATAATAAACAATAAAATTTAAATAATGCAAAGTCAAAGTCATCAAGTAGCCGCGTTGACGCTACTCAACGACAAAGACACAAGTAACAGCATTGTCAGTCGATCCCAGGCTTTGGCTGACAATAAGGGTGCACTCACAATGGCATCTGTGACACGTGTAATGGACTACGATTCTCGATAAATTCTATTTCTTCCTACCACCGACTCCACCTCTCTACTGCTACGTGTGTGCTTTCGTAGAAGTATACCTGTACAGTTCAAGACTATCGATACTGTATTCAAAGTGTCAATATTGGTTAGCAGTTAAAAATTGCTGCTCAAATTCCTATAGTGAAAATTTGTTTTCCTTCACATATCACTTATATTTGTCATTAACATTACGTTGGTACCTTTCCTTATATCTGAGAAATGATAGTGCTTGCTATCATTTTATTGGTATTTAAATTGCCGGCCATATCGCCATCGCACAATGGCACTTTGGGCATTTGACAAGTGGCTAAATAAGGTGAATAGCAAAAAAAAAAGAAAAGTTTTTGAACATACGTACTATTGCACGATGGGGGAGAATATGGCTGAAATGGGAAAATAAAGTGAAAATCGATAACTGACGAGAGTTGCCTTGTCGATCGCAACTGTCTGATTTATTGATTTAGTATAATAATAAGCAAACAGCCATATCGGAATTCACGAGAAACATGAACAGTGGGTTATTCGTGACGGACAAACGATCTAAAAGTGATTTTTGCCATGGTAATCGAACGAGGAGACTAACTTGAAGTTGTTGTGAATGACCCTGTATAGCATCGACCACGAATTATGATAAAATTGTGATATTGCATTAATTCGCAGTACAATAAATCAATTGTTTTTTTCACGTTAATACATCTAATGGGTGATAATATTGATTCAAGTATAGTTTTTATAAAAGTACAATTAATTATGTGAAAATTGGACGCAACGGAACGAGAAATAAGAAGATAAAAGCAGAGGATGATATCAACTTTCGTTTCACTGTCAAATTTGGGTCGAAGCCAAACGGCTGCCGTCCGATACCAACGAAACGACAATCCCACCCTGTGAGGGAATTCCAATTTCGTCGACGAAATTTCCTTTCCTCGGAACGTTTTATTATAAATTGAATAATCTAGGTCGTGCTGCTTAAAAAGTGACATAATAAAAATATTTGGGACAATTTACTGATTTAACGAAGTATAACGACTGCTTTTGCAATTTACATTGTTAACGTGTAACGTGCCATTTGACATACTTCGATCTGAGTTATGTATTGACAAGTTACGCAATTCATTGACATCTTGCTGAGACTTTTAAAAGATGGAACAATGTGGACTTGGCTTTAAGTATGGGCCGCGGGTGCCTATTTGGGTCTAAATCGTAAGTCAATCAATCGAAAAAAAAAAAAAAAAAAAAAAAAAAAAAAAAAAAAAAAAAAAAAAAAAAAAAAAAAAAAAAAAAAAAAAAAAAAAAAAAAAAAAAAAAAAAAAAAAAAAAAAAAAAAAAAAAAAAAAAAAAAAAAAAAAAAAAAAAAAAAAAAAAAAAAAAAAAATAAAGAGTTTTCGAAATTATGTCTCAAGAGTACGATTCTCTTGGAAGTTTAATAACCTCTGCGGTCGACGCTACATCAGTAATTACTTTGAATATTTACGACCTCACCAGGCCGAGTGAATGGTGCAACGAATACCGTTACGATCGAAAGGGTCGGATCCCGTAACAGCAGCCGGCCGAAAGCGAGACTGTAAAGAACCTTCAAATTCTTCCTTACTCCGTTGACCTTTGACCGATCGACGTAACTTCCGAATCACGGATTAGCACTGATACGCATTTCCTATCCCACCAGCGTTGAAGTTTCATTTAGTAACTTTTTCTTTCACTCAGCCTCGAATAAAAATATTAAGAGAAAGTCCAGTGCGTAATCAAGATCATAAATAAGGCACAGTGGCAATAAAACCACAGAGACGTCACATAATTCAATTGCGTAAGACCGACGATCGAACGTCAATTAATTTAGATCTTCGTCACGGGACAAAGTGATCACCTAACAACAATCCGAAGGTCGTCATTTAATTTTCGACAAATTGGACCCAAGTGCAAGCTCACGAGACGAAAGTGAAATCTTCCCTTCTCCTGGGCAGCGGTCGTCCAAAGGTGTACTGACTCATCGGAGGACATGGCAACACGCAGCTATTCGGCAAACAGCCGAACCAGCTCGCAGCATTAGACACGGGAATGTAGCCGAGGCGGGAGCGTCGAAAGAGCGAGAAGAGGCGAGGCGAGTGAAAGTAGTCGTGAATAAAGGAACTGGGACGCCATTGAAAGGTCGCCTTAAAAAAAAAAAGGAATTCAAGATCGATCGCGCCTCTCGTCGAATGTCACGGTTACGGGCACCTATTCAAATTTGGAAAATCGCAGAACAGCTGCATTCATTACCACATATCTCATTGCGTCTATTAAGGTTACATCCGGTTCTGAGCTCGAGCGTTTTCGTCGCGATGGAAAAAAATGTCGGAACTAATAACTTCCACAAAATCGATGCCGATGGCATTCGTGCGCGAAGATCGATACCCGAGAATGTCAGGTGCAATCAGCTGTTAATCGGTGCAGGGCCCCACCC